ACCCTCCCTCCATCTGACCTCCCCCCTTCCCTTCCCATCTCCCCCTCTTCATCCTGGGCCATAGTTGTGATCTATTCTTCATAAGTGTGAGTGATTATAAATTGGTTTCGTAATAGTACTGAGTACATTGGATACTTTTTCCTCCATTCTTGAGATACTTTACTGAGTAGGATATGTTCCAGCTCCACCCACATAAACATAAAAGAGGTAAAATCTCCGTCTTTTTTAAGGCTGCATAATATTCGTATGGTATACGTGTACCACAATTTATTAATCCATTCATAGGTCACTGGGCACTTAGGCTTCTTCCATGACTTGGCTATTATGAATTGAGCTGTGAAGAACAATCTGGTGCAAATATTTTTGTTATAAAGTGATTTTTGGTCTTCTGGATATATACTCCTAGTAGAGGGATTGCAGGATTGAATGCTAGGTCTCCTTATAGATCCATGAGTATTCTCCACACTTCTTTCCAAAAGGGACATATTAGCTTACATTACCACCAACAGTGCACACAAACTTGAGTTTTAAACTCACTTTCCCTAGTAAATTATTAGCTTTAGATAATCTTTATTTAAGTAATCTAGAAAATAAAGGAAGATAGGGTGGCTCCTGAGGCTCAGTGAGTAGGGCACCAGCCCCACATACTGAGGGTGGTGGGTTCGAACCTGGCCCTGGCCAAACTGCAACAAAAAAATAGCCGGGCATTCTGGCAGGTGCGTGTAGTCCCAGCTACTCCAGAGGCTGAGGCAAGGGAATTGCCTAAGCCCAAGAGCTGGAGGTTGCTGTGAGCTGTGATGCGGCCGCACTCTACCAAGGGTGAGAAAGTGAGACCCTGTCTCTAAAAAAAAAAAGAAAGAAAGAAAGAAAATAAAGGAAGATAATTTGTAAAACGGAAATAATAGTATGGCTTTTAGAGAGCTACATAATAAATTTGGTGAAAGAAAAAGATATTAAAGTGTTTTGTAAACTCTGAAGTACTAGAAAATAAAATTCAAATTTCCTATTTTGCCAGTTTGGGCAGTCCTAGACTACCATTTAGTAACAGACAGGTGGCTCATGCTTTTGTCTATTGCTTAGTACTTTCTTGGATATTGGGCATCTTGCTAAGTTATCCAGGAGTCTAAACTATTGGACTAGATATTATGGTACCTATATATTTTATAACAAAGATTGAAATGTCTATCGCCCTATGCCTGCCCCAGCTCACAAGTTTAGCTAGTATGACCTGGGCACCAAAATCAGCAGGAAAAAGGAAAATTGTGAGTCAGTCTCACTTTTGAATGTAGATGCAAAAATCCTAAATAAAATATAACCGAATGAAACCTATCAATATTTTTAAAAGAAACATATTTCATGACCAAGTCAGGTTTATCCTAGGAATACAAGGATGATTTAACATTGAAAGCTTTATTATTATAATTTTCCATATTAGCAAATTAAGTGAAAAACCATATGGTTGAATCAAATGCAGAAAAAGCATCTGAGAACATTCATTTTAAGAAGTAGTATAGAGATGTGATTAAGATCTTGTGCTTTTAAGCCAGACTTCTGGTTCTAGAATTTGGCTTCAAATTCTGGTTCTGCTACTAACCTCGAACAAGTTATTTAAAATACTCCCCCTCAGTTTACACATGATAAAATAGTAATAATAACTTCAGAGATTTGTTAGGAGAATATAATGAGTTGATCCATGTAACATTCTTAGAACAATATCAGATATCTGGTATGTGCTCAATAAATATTAGTTAACTTTTTTATGATAAAATCTCTTAAACTAGGAATGGAAGGAAATGTCTGTGGCCTGATTATATATTAAAAACCCAGGATGGCACCTGTGGCTCAGTCGGTAGGGCGTCAGCCCCATATACTGAGAGTGGCGAGTTCAAACCTGGCCCGGCCAAACTTCAACAAAAAAATAGCCAGGTTAATCTCATACATCAATGGGAAGAGAGGTGAACAGAACCTTCTCTAAAGAAGATAGACAAATTGCTATCAAATACATGAAAAAATGTCATCATCCCCAATTATTAGAGAAATGCAAATTAAAACCACCCTGAGATAACATCTAACCCCAGCAAGAACGGACTATATCACAAAATCTCAAAACTGCAGATGCTGGTGTGGATGTGGAGAGAAAGGAACACTTCTATACTCCTGGTGGGACTGCAAACTAATACAACCTTTTTGGAAGGAAGTACGGAGAAACCTCAAAGAACTCAACCTAGACCTCCCATTTATTTGATCCTGCAGTTCCATTACTGGACATCTATCCAGAAGGAAAAAAAACCTTTTCTTATAAAGATACTTGTACTAGGCTGTTTATTGCACCCCAATTTACAATCACTAGAATGTGGAAACAGCCTAAATGCCCTTCAACCCAGGAATAGATTGGCAAGCTACGGAATATGTATACCATGGAATATTATTCAGCCATTAAAAAAATGTAGCAGAATGTTTATTGAAGCCCAATTCATAATTGCTAGGTCATGGAAGAAGCCCAAGTGCCCATCGATCCACGAATGGATCAACAAACTGTGGTATATGTACACCATGGAATACTATGCAGCCATAAAGAAAGATAGAGACTTTACGTCCTTCATGTTCACATGGATGGAGCTGGAAAATGTTCTTCTTAGCAAAGTATCACAAGAATGGAAGTCAAAGTATCACAAGAATGGAAGTCAAAGTATCCAATGTACACATCCCTATTATGAAACTAATTTATACCTTTTATATGAAAGCTATAACCTAATAACAGCCTAAGAATATGGGGAGGGGAATGGGTGGAGGGAGGGAGATTAGAGGGATCATTTCTGAGGTTTATCTTACAAGGGTACAAGTGAATCTTTCTAAGAGTAGAATGTGAACGCTTTAAAACAATAACTAAGAAAATGACATGAAGGCTATGTTAACCAGTTTGATGGAAGTGTTTTGGATTGTGTGTGAAAACCCCACACTGTACCCCAGAAGTGCATTTATGTATATAGTTACCATTCAATAAAAGAAAAAATAAGTAAAAAAATGGAGATTTTGCAGCATTTGTACTAACCTGGATGGAGGTGGAACACGTTATCCTTAGTGAAGCATCAGAGGAATGGAGAAGTATGAATCCTGTGTATTCAACTTTGATACGAGGACAAGTAATGACAATTAACAACATGGTGGGGCATGGAGGATGGGGAGAGCAGTCGGGGGGGGGCGGGGTGAGGGTAAGGACAAGAAAAAAAAATAGTGGCTAATTCTCACATAAATTGGATTTGATTTTGACTATAGTACATTACTTAAACATTAATTTTTATTTCAACTTGTTAATATGTTGTTTGGGGTACAGGATACTGCATCCTCATTTAAAAGTGAATTATGTTGAATTATGTTTGTAATTTTCCCTTTATAAGAATATATTTTTTCCAATTTTAATATCAGGTGTATCCAGATTAAGCAGAATAATTTTGAAGTATTTCTTCTCTTTCTATTGTCTGTAAGATTTGGCATGATTTGTTTTTTGAAATTATTTTTATTTTTATTTATAAATATTAGTTGTCTATTTTTTGAGACTTTGGGAAAAAAATAATAATAAGTTAATTGATAACTCTATACTGAACCTCTGAGTCAAAGCATTCTATAATAGACATACTCTTATTTGACAATGCGAATGTTACTTTCTTTGCATTACTATTATTATTATTGCTTAATACTTAGTTGCAGCAATCATCTGATTTCTTTTATGAATGTATTTATCTTCATTTATTCTTTACGAAGTTTTTGTTTCTAATCCTTATCTTAAACATTGTTATTGTTGTTAAATTTTAAGGCTTTTTGATTTCGTGAATGCAAAAAGTGGAAACATAGTAAACACCTGTATATGTAAAAATAAAAATTAATTAATTAATTAATTAAATAAAAAAATAGCCGGGCATGGTGACGAGCGCCTATAGTCCCAGCTACTCAGGAGGCTGAGGCAAGAGAATCGCCTAAGCCCAGAAGTTGGAGGTTGCTGTGAGCTGTGTGACGCCACATCACTCTACCAGGGCAATAGAGTAAGACTCCGTCTCTACAAAAAAAAGAAAAGAAGAAGAAGAAGAAAGAAAACCCAGAACACATATTATTGTGAAAGATGGAATATTTGAAGCATTTCCTTAAAAATCAGAAACAAAAAAAAGATGTATACCATAATATTTCTCATTAATGTTATATTGAAATTCTAGACTACACAAAATGAAAAACAAAAGATGCATGAGATAAAAAGCAGCAAAGTCATCATCATTCTCAAACAATATAGTTAACTACATAAAAATCCAAGAGACTCTCCAGTCACATTATTAAATTGAATAATACAATTTAGCAAAGATGCTGAGTGCATCAGTTTTTAAATTTCATTCTGAAACATTAATATAAAAAGATAGAAAATAAAAAATATTT